GGTGAAGGGTGGTGGGAGCCTGGATTGTGTCTACTGAAGGAGACGGGGAAGATGGATGAGAAGGAACTCCAAATCTTTGGAGACTGAATAACACCATGAAGGAAAATGGGAAGGAAACTTTAAGGATGGCTGCCTGATTTTGATGTAGCATGATAAGATGGGTAGCATTGACTTTGTGATGAAGAATCCAAAAGTAAGGAACAAGTTAGTAAGGTAGCTGGGGATCAATGATGAGTTTCATTAGGAGCATTTTGCTTTTGAGATACTGGGAATTAGAAGTAGAGACCTGAAGTTTAGGATGGGATGAGTGAGACACACCCATTAGAGGGTCACCTCTAATGTAGAAGATATGGGGGTTAGATGAGATCACCAAAGAGAAGGAAATGCCAAAGGCTAACACGATTTCCTTATACCTCACAGTATCTTTTAGACCTTAGCACCCCCACCAGAGTGTCATAATCATAACACCACCTAGTGTGGATCATGGGCAAGTCTCCTGTCTAGAAGGGCTCGATTTTCTCATCTGTAAAATCTGGGATTGGACAAAATGGCACACATTCTGTGAAGCTATATTTGGAAAGCACGTAACAAACCAACCGCTCTCAGAAGGGGACATCTAAAGGTGGAATTAAGCAAAGAAATTTTAGCATAGGTGAGACATTTCCTGGTGGTGGTCCCAGGTAGGCAGACTCACATAGGTAGTCCATCACCATCAACTTCACCGACTACTGTTCACACTCAACAGCTCAATTGGAAGAAAAATGATTAGAATTGAGAGCCAACTGTTTGTAGGTGACCAAAGAACACTGGTGATAGTTTGGATTTTGACTATCTCCTAATGGGACATATGTCAAGGTCTTGTTCCCTAGCTTGGCACAGTTGGAAAGTGATGCAAACTTTAAGAGAGAGAGCCTAGTAGGAGGTTTTTAGGTCATTCAGGGTCTCTTCCTCTTATTTCTCAGCCATGAGGTGAGCAATTTTGCTCCACCATGCATTCCTGCCATGATGTGCCAACATAGGCACAAAACATGAAAATGTCTAAAACTGTGAGCCAAAATAATACTTTTCTCTTTGTAAAAAGTTGATCATCTCAGATATTTGTTATAGTAATAGAAAGCTGACCAACACAGCTGGTCTACAATATTATCAATAAACAACCAAATAAGATTCTGGGAAATTTTGAAAAAGTCTGCCTGCTTAACACACAGCATCCAAAAGACTGATCTTTACCAGCCCTGCACTCACCCTATCCTCTGAATCTTGTCTCAGCGTCACCCAGACTCTGTATTCAATGAACAGAACATTTGGTTCTAAATTTTGTATCTACCACACAAGTTACCTTTTTCCATCCCACCCCATCCTTTCTGACTCACTCTAGTCTAATTTGCATGTATGTTACTCGGGATGAATCTAGGAGTCATTACTAGGGAAATAGAAGGCAGACAGGTTTGGAAGTATTGAAGATGTCTTTGTTACTTCCTGCTATGCTCAACAATTAATAGGCATTCTGGAAGCCCTTTCCAATGGCCAGGAATTGGCCATGCCTAAATAAACTTGCTGCCAGGTTTTGGACAATAGCGGCACTCTAAGGTCAAAGAGACCTATGTTTTCTAAGTTGGTAGTGGCGTATGTGTGTGTGTGGTATGTTTGTGTGTGCATGAATTTTATATCTTCAGTTATATTATGAGCTCTTCTGGAAAAAAATCGTTGGTTAGTCTACCCACAGCCCCTTTATTCTAAGCAATATTAGGGATTCATTAAGACTTTTTGTTCCCATTAGGTTTATTGGTACATTTTAGGTATGCAGTAGTTACACTCATCATTGGGATCTTGTACCTTTGCATGATGAATCTTGGAACTTATTTTTTCCTCATTGCCCTGCCCTCCCTTCACCCCCTCCACCCTTCCTTATTTACACATATTTTGTCTCCATTTTTTCTTTTCACATTTTTTTCTTTTCTTTCCTTTCCCCTATCCTTCCCACATCCCTACCTTTAGACCTTTTCTTCCTATTTTACATTATCAATTATACAATTTGAGCCTTATTTACACTTCAGTTTTTCACACCAGAGAAACTATTCGGCATTTACCCTTGTGTCCTATTTATTTTATTTAAGAGTATCGCCTCAGTGTGTATCCATTTAGCTATAACTGACTAGGTTTTCATTCTTTATGGCTGATTAGTATTCCATTTTACAGAAAAACCACATCTTCTCTATCCAGTCTCCAGTTGATGGGCAATTCTGTTTCCTAGTTTTAACTAATACAGTCTGTGGCATTACAAACATGGGCACACATATATCACTGTTGTACGATTCTTTTAATTCTTTTGGGAAGACACCCAGCAGGGGAATAGCTAGGTCAAATGGGACCACCCATCATTTTTTGAGGTATCTCTACATTGATTTCCATGGTGGTTGCACCAGTCTGCACTCCCACCAACAATGGAGAAGTGTTCCTTTGTCTGCACAACCCCACCAGCATTTGTTACTGGTTGACTTCTTTTTTTTACTTCCTTAATTAACTTTTTTGGTACATTTAAGGTATACAATATAACTACATTCAGCATTGGAAATTTGCACCTTTACAATAATCCATCTTGGTTCTTATTTTTTCCCCTATTCCCCTGTCCTCCTTTCAACCTCTCCACCCTTCTCTATCTACAAAGACTCTGTTTCAATTTTTTTCTTTTTCCCATGTTAATTCCATTCCCAAATTAGCCATTCTTTCTGGGGTGAGGTGGAATCTCAGTGTTATTTTCATCTGCATCTCTCACATGACCAGTGATGTTGAACATCTTTTCATATATTTATTTGCTGTGTTTACTTGTTTGTCTGAGAAATGTCAGTTCATTTCAGATGCCCATTTTTGAATTGGGTCTTTGTATTTGGGGTGGTCTTATTTTTTTGAGTTCTTTATGTATTTTAGATAGTAGCACTTTGTCTGAGGAACAGCTGGTAAAATTTTTTTCCCACATTGTAGGTTGTCTCTCAGCTCTTTTGGTGGTTTCTGTTGCAGTGCAGAAGCTTCTTAATAAGATGAGATCCTAGTTGTTGATTCTTTGGGCTAGTTCCCATGCTACTGAGGATTTGGTCATAAAATCTTCTCCTATGCCATTGTCTTTGAGGGTTCTACCTAACTTATCTTCCAGCAAGTTCAGTGTTATTTTAATATTTAATCTTTAATCCACTTTAATTTTAGTTTAGTACATGGTGAAAGATAGGGGTCTAGTTTTAATGTTTGGTAGGTTGAAATCCAGTTTTTGCAAAACCATTTATTGAAGAGGCTACTTTTCCTCCCATGAGGATGGTTGGCTCCTTTGTCAAAGATGAGGTAGCTGAGTATGTCTAAGGTTGTTTCTGCATCTTCTAATCTATTCCACTGATCCTTGAGTCTGTTTCTTTGCCACTACCATGCTGTTTTTATCACAGTGGCTTTGTAGTATATTTTCAAGTTGGGAATTGTGATTCCCCCTTCATGTATCTGTTGCCTAAAATTGCTTTTGCTATTCTAGATCTTTTCTGGTTCCAAATGAATTTTTGGATTGTTTTCTTAAGTTCTATGAAATATACTGTTGGGATTTCAGTCAGGATCACATTGAATCTATATAGAAACTTTGGAAGTATGGCCATTTTCATTGTCTTGGTTCTTCCTACCCAGGAGTAAGGAAGTCTTTCCATCTTCTTATATTGTCTTCTATCTCTTTTCAGAGTGCTGTGATTTTCAGTGTAGAGGCCTTTTGTCTCCTTTGTTAGATTGATTCCTAGATATTTTATTTTTTGGATGTTATTGTGAAAGGAATTGTTTCCCTAATTTCTCTCTCAGTGAGTCTGTTACTTGTGTACATGAAGGCTATTGATTTTTGAGTGTTTACCTTGTATCCAGCTACTCTACTCAATCTGTCAATTAAGTCTAGGAATCTTTTGGCAGAGTTTCTGGGGTCTTCTATGTGAACTATAATAGCATCAGAAATGACAGCTTAACTTCTTCCTTTCCTATCTTTATTGCTTTTAGTTATTTCTCATCTAATTGCTGTGGCTAATGTTTCTAGAACTATATTGAACAGGAGTGGTGATAGTGGACATCCTTGTCTCGTTCCTGATTTTAGTGTGAAGGTTCTCAGTTTTTGATTACTTTGTATGATGCTGGCTGTTGGTTTTTCATAGAAAGCCTTTATCAAGTTGAGATAAAGACCATCTATTTCAATTTTCTGTAGAATTTTTATCATGAATGGGTGTTGAATTTTGTCAAATGCTTTTTCTGCATCTATTGAGCTGATCATATGGGTTTTGTCCTTGGCTCTGTTAATATAGAGTGTTACATTTATTGATTTATGTATGTTGAGCCATCCTTGTATCCCTGGGATAAGTCCGACTTGGTCAGGATGTATGATCTTCTTGATGACACTCTGTATTCTGCTGGCCAGTATCTTATTGAGGATTTTTTCACCTATGTTCATTAGGGAGATTGGCCTGTAGTTCTCTTTTTTGGTTGGGTCTTTCCCTGGTTTTGGAATCAAAGTAACACTTGCTTCCAGGAATGAATTTGGAAGTATTACTTCCCTTTCAATTTCATTGAAGAGTTTAAAGAGTAGTGGCAATATATCTTCTCTAAATGTCTTTTAAAATTCATCAGTGAAGCCATTGGGGCCCGTGCCTTTCTTTGTTTGTAAAGCTTTAATTACATTTTCAATTTCACTGATTGTAGGAATTCATTAAGTCTTTAATTTCAAGAAACTCCTTATGTAAGAAACTCCTTACTTAAAAGTGACAATCTGGTTTTTAAGACAAGTTTAGGAACTTTTTTTTTGAGACAGGGTCTCACTATGTAGTTCAGATTGCCCTGGAACTCACTATGTGGCCCAGGCTGGTCTTGAACTCATAGTGACCCTTCTGCTTCAGCATCCCAAGTGCTGGGATTTCAAGCATGCACCATCACACCCAGCAGGACTTTTCTCATGGTACATTTCATAAATGCAAGAAAATGTCAACTATACATACTTAACAATGCGATGGATGGGGCTTCTTGATCTGATTCTTATTTCTTATCATCAGTCGATTGATTGAAAAAGTGATATTTCCAATAGCTAGGGCCTGTTGGGAAAAAGATAACAAATAAAAGAATATATGTTATACTTTTTTTTTCTTCTAATTTTGGGAGCATCTGATAAAGGTCTTAAATTCACCCAAAGTAAGAACAGGTGGAAATTCTTTGGGAAAAGAAGAGAATGAATGAGCTATAAAAATAGTACAGTAGAACTACATTATTTTCTAAAGGTAAAATGGAAATCCAGAAAAGTGATTTCTTCATGATTTTACAGCTATTTAGTAAGACCAGGACTTCTGAGATCTACTCCCCTTTCCAAATCCAGTGTTTCTCAGCCTTGAGTAGCTTTAGAAGCTACTAGTTCCAAATCTATCCCAGACTAATAAAATCAGAACCTATGGGGATGAGGCCCAGGTATGAGTGTTTAAAAGCAAAAACTCCTTAGATTAAGAATAAACTTTCTATCCTCTGGGGTGTCTGCTTTGTACTCTAGCTTAAAATGCAAAATTTTATAAAATTTTATGGAGCAATTTTTAAAAATTTATTGAGTACCCGCTGTGTGCAAGGTATGTGTGAAGTGACTGCAGAGGAATTAGATTTGGGAGAGAAGACAAGATTACAACTTAGGTTTCAAAGAAAGACATAGATGAGAAGAAGAATAAAAAGGAATGTCATTCACTGCTCTTTCAATAATGGCAAATATTACTCATTTTTTGTTACCCTTTTTCTGGGTCAAATATGATCTTATAAGCCTTTCAACAGTGGACTATAGGTAGATATCACCTTTTGATTTCTTGGCACCTGAGAAAAACTCATTTGTTGTTTCTGGACAGGTCATGTGCATGTGGCCATAGCTGGATGGCCGAATAAGGGAGTGCTTTGGTTTCTATCTGGAATGTCCCCCAAAAGCTGGGAGGTGGTGGACCTTTAAGAGGCAGGACCTAGTGGGACATCTTCTGTCCATTGGCGACATGCCATTGAAGGGGGTAGTGTAGTGGATCCTGGACTCTTCTTTCTCTTTTTGTCATAGGCATGAGATCATGAGATGACCAGTTGTGATCTGCCATGTGCTTGCACCATGACATGCCATCACAGGCCCTGAGCAAAAGGGCCAAATGAGCATGAGCTGAAACCTATAAAACCGTGATCCAAACTAAAATCGTTCTCTTTCTAAGTGTATTACTCAGGTATTTATTATAGTAATGGAAAGCAGATTATCACAGAAACCATGTTTATGCAAAAAAAAAAAAAAGAGGGTTAGGGAGGTTTGATAGTGTCTTGTCTGTCAGGCAGTGATTTTGAACTTTATTTTATAGGCAATCGAGAGCTATTGACACTTTTTAATCCAGGGACTTGTATCGCTCAGTGCTCACTAGCAAAATAGACAATATAAGATACATAAATATGTAAGGATTTTCAAGGTAGGCTTACAGTGGCCTATTGCAGTAAGGTGTGGAAGAGTGCACAAGCTGTCTGAATGTTGGAGATTCAAAAGATCCAGTCAGAGGCTGAAGACCTGGAGCTCTCTGTGTTGTCCTGTGCAACTCTCTATCAGGAGGCCAAAGGTTCTGTGATGGAAGGCTGGAGGGTCTGCTCTGGAAGTCAGGAGATGATGTCCAAGGTGAAGGTGAAGACTAGAGCTCCCCTGAAAACACAGAAGCAAGCCTTCTTGCTTCATTCCCCCTTTTTATTCCATTCAAGCAACAAACCTATTGGTTGGTCCCATTCACACCCAGGGTGGGTCTTCCATTTTCAGGAAATCCATTCAGCCACACCCTGAACTACATTAATCCAATTAGTTGGCCTTTTCTTACTTCTTATCTTACTCAGATAACTATCACAAGACTAGAAATAAAATTGACCTAGTTACTATATTGCCAATAGTGAGACCAGTTGTATAGTTGAATCATCCAGAGATAAGGTTACAAGAGCCTAAATATGAGGGGCCACAGTAGGAATGGAGAAAAGGGACAATCTGAGAGACATTAAAAGAGAAGAATTGATAGAACATCATGATTGCATAAGAGAGAGAGAGAGAGAGAGAGAGAGAGCATGACAGAGACAAAGACAGAGAGAGACAGAGGTGAGGCAGTGGGGACTGGCGGATGGATGCCTTCACTGAATAGAGAGAGGCAGGTGGAGATAACACTTTTAGTGTAGAAAGAATCATCTTGGAATGGCCAGACATGCTACCCTCAGGGAAACTTTCCAGTAGGAGCATCTGCATACACAGGCTCTGATTCCTAGTTCCACCATTTATCTGCTGATTGAAACAGAAACAGAGTAGGCCAGCCTTTTGATTTTTCTAAATTGTCTCTTCTGTAAAATATGAATGATGACATCGGTAGTCCCATCACGGAATTATTTGGGGTACTAAATAAACTAAGGGCGGCAGGGCTTCGTAAGCAGTGACAAACCATGTGCAACTGGTTAATTATGGATTCTTCTGGCTCCTCCTCACAGATGTACACTAGTCCTAGGGGACTACAGGCTGGGAAGGAAGCCAGACTTGGAGAGGGAGACTTGAAAATATTTTCAGTGGAAAAGATAATTAAAGTTCTGGAATTGTTAAGATCTCTTTATAGATGTCAAAAAGAGAATAGAGATCACATAGATAGAATATTAGCTAACACCACTTCTTAAACTATTTTATTTCCATGATAAAAGGAAAAGGCTCCAGATAGTCTCCCACCACTAGACACATTGGTAGCACTTTATTGCATCTCTCTACATCATGCTTTGTTTTTAGTGTAAACAATTTTAAAGGAAGAATAAGAAAAAGGTATAGTGAAAACACTTTTTAAAAAATTAAAATAATCCTAAACATAGAGGATGAACATTATATATTTTCTAGAGAAGCGAGGATAGAAATCACAGTCTCCTACATGTGGGATAATTGTAAAGTTCACTTAGTCAAACTTTAAATTTTTCTCTAAGTCTATTTATTAATCACCCATTATGTCCCAGGCACTTGGCTACGTGTTATTCATGCAGCATATCCAACAATATGCCCAGAAATCCCATGAGACAGATATTACTGTTATCCATTTTACAGATGAAGAAACTGACACTCAGAGATTTAGTGTCCTGCACCAGGTCACAAAGCAGGAAGTGGCCAAGCCAGACAAGGCCAAGCCTGACATCAGAGCCCGTGCTTTCAACGTCTGTGCCATCAGAGTCCTCCCCACTGTCCTTGACCTGGTAAAGCTAGAGCTCTTCAAAAGGGATGTTTGGAGGGCTGTGGCCCCCATGGGTGTATATCTGAGTCAGAAACAGCTGGGAGTGGGCTGAGAAGTGAGTCTTCCTGTGAAACAGCAAAAGAAAAAGTGGGCCAGGACACAATAATCACAGATAACCTTTGTTTGACTGTGTGATGTGGGGGTGAGGGCAATAAAGGATTCCAAAGTCATATAAAAGAGACTTGTGGCTGCCCAGCCTCTCCGGTCACGTCCCCTGTCTCCTATCTCCAGGTCTTCCTTGGTATAACAGATCTCTTTTGGTTATATCTCTGGCTCCTTCAGACAAAGAGTTGTCCTGGTAGGACAGGGACAGAGCGGTAGCAGTAGAGTCTGAGTCCTTAAACAGAGAGCCCGGCACCACAATCATGTGGAGCGAATCTCGGGCCATGGCCCCTTTTCTTGCCATCTGGTTAACATTGTGAAAAAACGATGCCCCACAGTCCTAGCCTTTGCAGGAATCAGAAGAGCTGACAGAATTGCTTTTTCACAGCCTCCCTGACTCACCGGAAAGAAAGCCCTCTCCCCAGCTCTGCTCCAGGAAGCCTCCTGCAGAGCATCCTCAGCATGGCTGAGCTGTTCCCATGGCAACGGAGTGAGGGGCTTTTTGTTTTCTCAGAAGGTTGGATCCTTTCAAACAGAAGGTAGCTGGAGGCTCTTCCCTACAATCCACATTCCACCCCCTACCCCTGTTTGGCTGTATAATTAATTTTACATTGTGTGTTTTAAAACAAAATTGAAAAGGCACAATAAATGGAAACTGAGGCTGAAAGCTTTAAGGAAGTCCAGAGGCTTCTCAGCAGCCATGTGTCAGAGCTGTGATTGTCAGAATAATTATAGCAATACTTATCAGATTCTGTAAAAAGAGCATCAAGACTTTCCTAGTTCAATAACATCCATTAAAGAAGCACGTTAAGTTTCCAAAGCAAGGAATCTAGGTGGCACTGAAGTGCAAAACACTCACCTGGCCTCGCCAGGGACACAGAGTAGCAATGCTTTTCCAAATTTCTTCCGAGGTCATGAGTCAAGATGGCTGGCATAGATAGCCTGAACTTGACCTACTCTTCAGGTAAGTGACCTTGATGAGTGAAATGACAATGAGATAATAGGTCTTTTTAAGGTCTACAATGCAGTGTTTTTGAGTTGCTGAGGAGGAAAAAAGAGACTTTGCTGAACTGTTGACAATTCCAGGCTGTTCCAGAATGAATACCTTTCTTAGAGTACTTGGCCTTGTGAAGTGGTGCTTATCCTCTTCCTCCGCTACTTTATGCCAGGGTAAGTGAAGCCTTTGAGTGGCTAGGCAAAGAACACTGCACAAAGACCATTTCCCTTATGTCTAATGCCAGGACAGGCAAACCGTGGCCATACTATGAGCATGTTAGGGTCCAAGACCATCTTTTAAAGATCTTTGTAACTACTGAACAAATGCCTGTTGAATTAAGGAACTCATAAAAATTTAAGTCATTACAACTGAAGGATCCCTTAAGATCCATCAGGTCCTCATTTAGAGATGAGGGGCTGAGGCTCAAGACATTTTGCCACTTAGCCATACAGCTACAGGCAGAGGGAAGACCAGGGCACAGCTATCCGCCTTCCTGCCATGATTCTAATTCTTTTACCATTCTTGCATGGGATTTTAGGGGAGTGTACAGTCGGGGCTGAAGTCACTTAGCTTCCTCCCTGTAGCCATTCATCAGCAAAGCTATTTCAGCCTGTAAGGAGAGTCAGCTTGGACTCTGCCTCTTTGTCCTCTGCTGTTTAATAGCAGGAGAATATAAGTCTTTCAATGTGAGGGTCGGTGTAGGTATGGATGTAGTAAATGCACACCTTTCTCACCTTTGAACCCCAAAATTGCAGCTGAGTCATAACAGCTAAACACTCTAATTTTCCCTTTTGTTTCCTCAACATGTGTCATTTTTAATAATAATTGCAAAACTATTTGTCAGGATATTTCATCCCACCTACTCTTACAACCCCTGATTCTCAATGGCTTTCACAGTCTGTGTTTAGTTCTTGCTCATACAAAGTTGAATGTCCCTGGTCTGACAGTTCTCAAAGTCAAAACTCAGGGACGCAGGTTGCTTCTATTGGTGGCTCCACCATTTGGGACTGCAGAGTTGCTCTGGCATAATTCAGTCAATAGAATAGGAAAGCTTTGTACCCATGACCTTCTCACTTAGCCTGGCAGTGACTCCAATTCTTCTTAGACCTCTATGGTCATCAATTAGTCGTGTGGTTCTGCCTAAGTAGAAAGCGGGGGTGGGAAACAGCCCTTAGTGGGTGAGCATCGGTCCAGCAATGATTCTACACAATGGAAGAGAGTAAGGATCTTTATTGGTCTCTAACACATGCCGCTATCTAGCATTTATACAAGACGTGACTTGCCAGGCAGATAACGTACTATTATTTCATTAAGTCTTCATAATTACTCTATAATGTTATTATCCTTCTCAATGTACAAATGAAAAACTAATTGTAGGAATGTAAATTAACTAATGCAAGGCTACATAAGTAGTTGATGACCAATTCAAACTTCAGGCTGTAAAATTAGAGCCCAGATCCATAACTGTTACATTCTACTGCTTGGAGTTTCTGGCCCAGAAACCTGCATTAGCCACTGAAGAGCCTGTGGAGCCTTCAGTGACCAACATTCCCCCTCTCTGGACCTTGCTTTCATCCCTGCCAAATGAAGATGTTCACTTGGATGAGATCTGAGATAGTTTGCCAGCTAAGACATCGCATAATTCTTAGGATGAACAGATCAGGTGGGTGGGGTCTCCAGTGATGCGTAACCGTAGGAAGGTTCTTCTAAAAGTTTCCTAAGACTTCCTAAGAAATAAAGCTTCACGATGTGTAGGGGAAAGCAGGTCCAGAGTGTGATAGCCCATTGAAGGGCTTGGTAGGAAGTAAGGGCTTTAGGCTTGTTGATGTATGTATGAAATGTGCACTTACAGGTGAGTCCTTTGCTAGAATTTAGCTAACCCTAGGGAGGGGCCATTTCTCCAGAGACAGCAAGCATCAGAAAATAAGTTTTTTAAAAAAGACAAATTCATCCCTGATAGAGGTCTAGAATAAGATCCTTTAGGTTGGGAACAACCAAAAGGTGTCGATAGTTGGCTTGTTGGTCAGGTTCCCCAGAAATCACATTCTGAGATGGGAGAACTGCATGAAGAAAATTGAATGCTCTAAGGTCTTAGCTCCTTCCCTGTGGAGGAAGGGAAGGAAGCACCCCTGGGCGCAGAAGGTAGAAGGTGATGCCAGTCACACAAAGGCCTCAGAGATCCTGGTCCACAGGGAGCTCGAGAGCCAAGAGGGGCCTGCAGAAATGTCCTGATTTGGGGCAAAGAATCCACCTAGTCCTGGATGTGCCACGCCACCCTACGCACATGGGACCTGATCTTAAATGAGAGAGCTGTCTACACACAGGGACTGGGTTTTTGTCAACACCCTTGGCAGCTGAAGAAGTGCCTTCGTCCTGAAAGGAAATCTGGGTGGCACACTTTGATGTCCTCTATGGAAGGGACAGAGAATCAACCTTAGAAGTAGGTAGGGAATTATCTCTGGAGGACAGTGGAAGGTATGTATCTGCAGCTATAGTGTAAGACGTCCCAATTTGCTATTAAGGAGAAGTCACTAAACCACATTGAATTATTCACATTTTTAAAAAGTTTGAGGAGCACATTCAGAATTTGTTTACAGTTGTGCTCAGCTAAAATTCATCTATTAGCATGCCTGTGTTATAGCGGTACCATTGCTAAAAATTTCATGAGGAAAATCCAATCCACGGCATTTTCTTTCTTGAGAATCTGTTTCTTGAGGAAGACGCCCATCTGTCACCTCTGCTGGGTCTTAGGTGGAAGTGCCAACCTTGTCTTCAAATGTCCTCCAGCAGACATACCGGGAAGGGTGGCTGGAGTTTCTCATTTGTGGGAAGAGGAGGACAGTGGAAATTACTGGTTTGAAAGACACAGATAAAGGCATGCCACTGCTTTCTTTTACCTTCCAGCCCTGTAAGCTACAGATTTATGGGTGTATCTGAAAAGTAGTGAAGTGTCTGTCTACCTAGAAAGGCCTGGGTCAACTGACCCTTACAGGTGACCCACAGTGAGGCTTTAGACACCTTCCACTGCTTAGTTGGTATGCACCTTGTATGTTTGGCAGATAGTACCCCTCTGGCCTCTCACAAAATGACTTTTAGGATGTTGGAGGAAGGTCCAGGCAGGTACGGCATTTATAATTCCTTGCCGCCGCCACCACCCAGACTATGTCAGAGATCCAAAGTCTGAGAGCCCGTCTCTGACCTTTCAGAACATCTCTTTTTGGAGGATCTCTTCTTCCCTTTTCAGTTAACATCCCCAATGCCAAATAAACATAAGCCTAGGCATTCTTTTTGTTGTTGTTGTTGTTGTTACCAGGGATTGAACTCCTTGCGCTTGCAAGGCAGGCCACCGAACCGCTGAGCTAAATCCCCGGCCCTGCCTAGGCATTCTTTTGGGAAACGTGGGCCTGACATTGGAAGATATCTCCTATGTACTTTGTTGAATAGATGGAAGGAAAGAGGTTCTGGAAAATGCTTTTCAGGAGGTGTAGGACCTCAGGGTCTTTTCCTTCTGACTGTGGAAAAAAACGTTTTATAGACCTCTACAATGTGAAGGTGGTAGTGCCTCAGGTGTCACCTGGACAGTCCCTGAATTTTGCGGACCTGAAGCCTAGAAGGTTTGGTGACTTACTTGCCTCATTTCACAGCCCACACAGTAATAAGTGTAAGAGCCAGGAGTGCAATGCTGAAGCCCTTCTGACCATAGCTGTGGGCTGCTTTATCTCTGTGTGTCATTATTATGCTTCCTTCCAGCAGCCTTTCCCCGCCCAGTTGCCCTGGGGCCAATTCCCCTTCTTTTCCTGTGCAGGCTTATAGTAATAATGACAGCTTGTGCTCCTCAGTACCTTCTGTGTGCCCAGACTTGGGCTAAGTGCTTCCTGTCAGTCTCTTTATTCCTCATCATGACTTCATAAAAGAAGAGTCATTGGTGCACCTATTTTGCAGAACAGAAATCGAAGCTCTGGCTTTCATACCAAAAGATCCCTGCTTTTACCCAGTACTTCCTCGGAGACAAGCGTCCACCAATGAAAAGGCTGCTATCTGGATTTACCTTTGTAAAACCTTAATTTTGTAGCACTTCATCAGAGGTATAGGTTCTTTTGCAAACTTTGGGGAGGACGTGAAAAAGAGAAGACACGAGCTAAAGTGTGGTATGTGGAAAGCATACAGGACATGGAGCTAAGTGCCCTGGTGTCTGGTTCTGCCACTGCTGCTGTCTTTCTGATCGTTTCCTGTGTGTCCCTTCATCTCATGGGTCCTCAGTTTCCTCATCTGAAAACAAAAGGGTATGGGCTGTACAGACAAGATGATCTTTAAGTGTTCATAGGGCAAAGCATTTTCAGAATCTGTGTTTCGGTCGCCTTCATGTTATCTCTGGGTAGAGAAGTCCTGGTCCCGTCTCCTGACAAGGAAGTCACATCCTCATCCATCAGCCCCCACCTGGGTCTGCAAAGTCCACTTCGTATCAGCCCTGCAT